AATACCATATGTTATTGTTATACATGGGGGTATTTTTTCATTGTCCTACTAATACCATATGTTATTGTTATAAGAAAGATAATCGATTATCACCATACCCAAAATGATATCATCATTTATATGTTAATAATGTAGACGCGATAACAAATTAAACGTTATAATTATAAATAACAACATCGTTCATCATCCCATTCAAATAATACATAAATGTTATAGAAACGAGTGTCGATTATCGTACTAATACCATGTGTTATTGTATTCTCATATGATACGTTATTATTACACACATGGCTAGACATCGTCTTCACATATCATACGTTATTGTTACACACGTGGGTATTGGTCATTTCCTACCTATACCATATGTTATTGTTATACATGTGGGTATTTTTCATTGTCCTACTAATACCATATGTTATTGTTATACATGTGGGTATTTTTCATTGTCCTACTAATACCATACGTTATTGGTATACATGTGGGTATTTTTCTTTGTCCTACTAATACCATATGTTATTGTTATACATGTGAGTATTTTTCATTGTCCTACTAATACCATACGTTATTGGTATACATGTGGGTATTTTTCATTGTCCTACTAATACCATACGTTATTGTTATACATGTGGGTATTTTTCATTGTCCTACTAATACCATACGTTATTGTTATACATGTGGGTATTTTTCATTGTCCTACTAATACCATACGTTATTGTTATACATGTGGATATTGTTCATTGTCCTACTAATACCATGCATTATTGTTACATGTATATTGCCGATTGTCGTCCTACTAAAAGGATATGTTACTATTATATTCAATAATACTGATTATTAGCATATCAAAATTATATATAATTTTTATTATATTATTATTATAGATTAATTATCTTCCTACCGAACCCATGTGCCAAACACTGATCATCATGTCCTCCCATTTCAACCCAAAGACGCACCCATATTGTTAAGATATGTTATGCTGCAGCTTTGGGAATACTTATCTACGACGTGAAATACATAAATGCATACTTTGTTGATACACGCAATCGTAAACCCTTGTTCAGACTTAAGGCATATCAATTAATATGTATTTCTTGTTCATTACCTAACCTACAGTTCGTGATTAGAAATGAGATCCACAAGATCCATTAGGATGCGTTTCGAGCTGTGTAATTAGGCTGTCTGAACGTGCTCCACTGATATTCATATTCGTAGAGTGACGCAACGTCGAAATCCACAGAGGTTGAGCGTTCTTTTACAGTCGTCACACGGGCCCTTACTGGATAAGTACTTCTAGCACAAGCAGACTCTGTCAGTTAGTGTTCGTGTAACAGACGTCACTTGAAGTTTATACTGTTAACATGCGCTGATATCTTCTATCCACTCGTCTCGCTAACACCTATCGAGAAAGTAAGTTTATTACTTTTACCCACTTGAGGACTTAATTCCATATTAAACACAACTGACAATAACTGTTCTAGTATTAGTACTAACTTGAAGAAACGAAGAAAGTTAAAAGCTATTTTATTTTTCTAAAAATATCATAATAAAGTGGTAAGAGTTTTACTGTGTTACCTTAGAAGCAACGTAAATTTTCATACCATAAAAATGTATATTAAAATAGACTTACTTGCCGTATTTTAGACTGTTGGTTTAGGGTTCTAAGTATACAGGACTTACTAATACTATTAAAAAGTATTATGTGATATCGCTTCACCCATTAATTAATACAAACTTTCGAACTGCATATACTAGTATCGTTTCTATTATTCCTGCGAGTAAAGAATATTATTTATGACTACTTCTGTAATTCTGGAAATTTATGACGCAGATTTTCTTAGATTGCTTCTTTCTCTCATAAAATAAGTCCCACGGTGGGCAGCAGCAAATTTACGCACTTACAACGCTACAGTCCGGGGCTCGATTCCTCACAGAGGACACAGCAGATAGACTAATGTGACTTTGCTTTCAAACAAACAAGTAAACAATCATAAGTCTTTTTATGATTTTTTGTGTGTGTGTGCGCGTTCAAAGTAAACAAAGGACGCGTTTCCGAACGCATGTGAACTTCACTTAATGTTCTTAAAATAATATTTTTCACAAAAATCTCATTATTTAAGTAAAGCTTAAAGTAAAGAGTCAAGTTTAAAAATGCCCTATTTCCTTTTTGTTAGGAAAGGCTTAACTGCATAAACGCATAATTTGCATGTGTGACTGATAATTCAGTTTTTCACATAGATTTCCTCAGAAGTAATGCGGCACGCTTTGAAGTGTTTCCTGCAGTATTATCAGCACAGCGTTCACAGTCGATGTTTCATGTGTGAAGGTAAAAACCTGCGATATATATATCAACAATTAATTATTTCACGTTAGAAGTACAACAAACTAAACCAATTTTATCCTACCGCTTTCGTACACAAAAAAAGAAAAAAAATCACTCACTGAGAAGGTTGAAAATAACGCTTCAGTTAAAATGCTAAATTCAAATAAAATTCTAAAATTGATTACCTTTCTACCCATACACACATAAATATACCAAGCACTCTTTACGATCGTTTAAAAGTGCATACATCTACCGAGTTTTGCGTCTGTAGGCTCAACGAAACGTTCGTTTGGCGTTTCAAGGCACATCAAACGCGTTGATGAAAAGTACTTTTTATATTATTCGAGTTTATTTTTTACTCTATTTTGTCATACATTCAAGTATTTCTTGACTTGCACAAATGGGTTTATAGAATAAACTTACAAAAAAATAGCTAATTAAAAAAAACTTAATCTTTAGTGTCATCTGGTGACCCAAATACAATATTACTGAAATATTCTTACGATTTAGTCACGTGCAAAATAGTACTATTGTTTCCAATGAAAAATGGACCAATTTTAGGTTATAGAAGCTTAGCTATTAAATATAGGTCAAGGCTTTCAATACTTAGTTCATGGCCAGGTGGTTAAGGCACTCGACTCGCAATCTGAGGGTCGCGGGTTCGAATCCCTGTCACACCAAACATGCTCGCCCTTTCAGCTGTGGGGGCGTTATAATGTGACGGTCAATCCCACTATTTGTTGGTAAAAGAGTAGCCAAAGAGTTGGCGGTGGGTGGTGATGACTAGCTGCCTTTCCTCTGGTTTTACACTGCTAAATTAGGGATGGCTAGCGCAGATAGCCCTAGTGTAGCTTTGCGCGAAATTATAAAAACAAACAAACTATACTTAGTTCCCTAGCATTTTTCTATCGCAGTATATATGGTGGCATTTATTTGGCTATATCCACTAGTCTATTAGTTTTCTAATTAACCATACACATCTACGAAATTTTTTTATCATCCGAACAATTTTTGCCACTGGTTGACTGGGTTTTCTATAAATTATTTCACATAAAAGTTCTACTTTTTCACATTTTATTTTAAAAACATATTTTCTAGTGTGAATTTCATAACCAGGTGAGAAAGACAACTAATAATAATTATTCAGTTACTATCAAGTACACGAAAAGTTTATTTATTTTAGAGCAAAGACACATTAAGATATCTGCTGTGTCCACTGTAGAGAGTCGAACTCTGTATTTTATTGTTGCAAGTCCATAAGCTTACCGCTGTCCCACCGGGGGAATAGATAAAAAAAACAAAAAAAAAACGGAAGTTTGGGAAACTAGAAAGAGTTAAAAATCGACCATAAAAATCAGTCTCATAAAAAACCTGTAAAAAATAATATGAAGAAATATGATTAAACGAAGTAAAACAAATAACCAAAAATCATAATTCAGAAAATGCTATTAAAAAGAGCCAGGCTAGTTATCATGATGTGCTGTGAATTTGAAGGTCCAAAGCTCGCGCAACCATCAATTAAACACGATTCGCATTTTCAGCTGTGGGTGCATTAAGAACGTGACAGTCAATCCCATTACTCGATTTTTGGAGTCGTACAATATCCTTCTGGAGGCGGGTACTGTTTACTGGCTATCTTTCCTTTGGTCAATAGCTCAAAATTAGGGTCAGCTGTACTCGAATACCTGGAGGTTCTGACCTGGCATGTTGAAAAACCAATATCATGCCATTTGTAGTGCTTGAAGTGATCTGAGTCTATAAATATTTTGCTGTTTCTTTTTCTTTTTTGCTTTGTTTTTTTTTTGCGTCTGAAAAACCTGTCAAAATTTTCGTTGGCATCATTTTAACTGTGCATACTATAAATGCAAACAACAATTATAACATTATAACAATTATAATTATAACTGTCAATTAAATTAGTGTTAAAATGTAGTTCTGACATATGCAGTTTTACCGCGACTGTATATTAGCCATACTTTTCACATGACTTGCTGATTTGCATACTGAAAATGTTTTAATATAACGTGCTCAACCTTGTTTGTTTGTTTTTGTTTTTGAATTTCGCGCAAAACTACACGAGGGCTATCTGCGCTAGCCGTCCCTAATTTATCAGTGTAAGACAAGAGAGAAGGCAGCTAGTCATCACCACCCACTGCTAACTCTTGGGCTACTCTTTTACCAACGAATAGTGGGATTGACCGTCACATCATAACGCCCCCACGGCTAAAAGGGCGAGCATGTCTGGTGTGACGGGGATTCGAACCCGCGACCCTCAGATTACGAGTCGAGCGCCCTAACCACCTGGCCCTCAACCTTATAATACACTACTTTTGAGGTTCTCTTCTACCGTTCAACTTGTAACTCTTGTCTGAGAAAATGAAGTATCAAATAAGATCAAATACATTAAAAATGAAACTGTCTTATTTTACTTTCATTGGTTAGTCATTTGTTAAATCAACCATTTCCGATCACAGTTTCTAAATAACGGTTAATGTTAATGATTGTGAGGGGAAAATTATATTTTAGGCTACTGTCTTAAAAATCAGAGAAATGTCACTAATATTCATTGAGTGTTTTCTTTTCACAAAGAAAAAAACTGAGGACAAATTGACTAAATATTATCTAGTTTTGCTTAAAAAACATATTTGATTTAATTTTCTACCATTTTGATATAAAATAATTTCCAAGATATTGTTCTGAGAAGTTTTTTTTTTTAAACATGCACTTTAGAAACACTTTCTTTCGTTTTAGAATTTCAACTTGTTTATAATGCTGATCAGTAAGTTTGTTTGTTAAATTTCGGGCAAAACTACTCGAGAGCTATCTATGCTAGCCGTCCCTAATTTAGAAGTTACAGATTAGAGGGACAGCAGCTAGTCAACACCACCTAACGAGAAATCTTGGGCTAATATTTTACTAACGAATAGTATAATTGAACAGAAATTATAACGCCCTCATGGCTGAAAGGGGCGAGCATGTTCGGTGATGGAATTCGAACCCGCGACCTGCAGATTGTGAGACTAGCGCCCTAACCACCAGGTCATGTCGGGCCAATCAATAAGCTTAATCTTATACATTCAGAGAATTTCAACTTGATTGAATTTCATTAAGTAATTTCTTTCGAAACTCTATTTGGCCGATTCGGTGACTCAAGACCTTACGTTTCAAAATGGTGTCAGGTGAGGTTACGTAAAAATATTTTTATTAACAAAAATGCATGGTCGAAATAAATTTATATTTCAGAAATATACTTTGTTTCAATAAATTACAAATTTTATTATTTATTTGAGTTATGTGAATACGATAAGCTTACTAATAATATCAAATAAATAAGTATTTGAGTCGCGGTAATATTTTGCCGCCTCTACTGTACTCTCTAACCATAATATGACTTACTTGATGTTTTGTCGTAGAAGAAAGTTACCATAACTCAAATAATTATAATTTAACACGAAAACATTTTCAGGAACCAAAGGAACTCTAAAGAAACTATTAAACAATTTTAAAAAATGTGGTTTGTTCCTTAGTCTTCTAAACTTCTCTTTCCCCCGTTGGACGTACAATGCTAAAATCTAGGGTTCGATTCCTTGCGGTGGACAGAAGCATACATAGCCCATTGTGTAGCTCTACCCTAAAAATACAACAACTAAACTTTCCACTACATTCCGTTGTTATTCTCTGGAATTTCAATTTCCCACGAAGTCATAAATTACTTTCATACAACTTTATTCACCCTATACTGACGTAAATAGTTTATAATCTGCTCTATCCAATGGTAATTAAACTTTCCACGTAGCTATTTTGAAAGCTGGATTTCAATAGCAGTTGTTCGATCACCTGCTGTGAGGTCATAAAAGGGTGAGAACACAGAGGCTGTGTAAAATTTAGAGAAAGAAGAGGAAATCACGTGAAAAACAAAACTTGAGAATATAGTTCTCAAGGGATAATAGTTTCTTAGCAAATATAGACCAATGCTTTGAGATGGAAATGAAAAAACTAAAATAATTATAAGTGTATAATTTACAAGCAAGACCCCCCCCCCCTGAGTTGACCAGACGTGTAAGTTTGATTTTTTTTAAATTTTCTT